GTATAACTCCGAACAACTGTCCCACACCACCATCCTACTCTTAAACCTGGCCACACATGCGATTCATTTACGTAAGATGTACTCATTGGAAATTAATCGTCAACTAAGGTCTTCAGTAGGATCCCACTAATGTGAGAAATGTAAAATAAGCACCCACTTCACTGTTCAAGAATCATCAATACCTCACCTCGGCATGGTCAAATGTGATGATTTTTCCTTCGGTGGAGCCGATTCCCAGGAAACCGCGTTTCTTCTGCTGCAAAAAAGAAAAATTGCAACAAATCGTAGGCAAAAAATAGCCATAAACATAAGAGCACGATGTGCACTCATTCTTTACATGGAGATGCAGGATTACCTTCAGCACTATCTTGATTCCCTTTTCAACGAAAATCGGTTCCTTGATCTTGTCGTACTCAGTCGCCCAATCGGTCGCCCACGTGCCCATCAAATCTGTGCGCTTGACCAGCACCTGCAGGGAAAATAGTCACAAAATGATCCTTCCAAAGTAAAAGATCATTAACAGCAGAGTTTCTCCAGTTCCCGTCCAAATGACGTGAAAAGGGTTTTATGAAGCATTACCAGTTGTGCATTGGTGACCAACAAAACCACTTTGTCCGTGATCTGAGCGTAAGTGATGAACTCATCGGTTTCAGCAAGCTCTCCTCGATCAGTGTCCTGCAAATACGATATTGGAGCCCTTCCCTCTCAAGTGCGAAGCTATTTATATTGGATTTATTTATTTGAATTCATTATACCATGAGTAATGCGCGATTAGTCATGCAGTCTGATTGCAAACACATTTTCTTTTAAATATCAACATCAAGCTACAACGGATCATCACCGGCTTCGCGATTACGACTGCGGACTATTGAACTGCGGTTGTATGACATCTAATCCTTTTGGTGCAGCGGGAACCTGGTAGTAAGTAAGAATGCGTGAGCCAGGGGGCATGGGGCCAATTCAGGGGGTGGGGGTGTGTGAGCCACTTAACCTGTGGCAAAAGTTTGGGCCTTAGTGTCTGGTGTCTGGCCTTGTGAAGGAGACGCAGAGGAGAAAAGGTGTTAGATGACCCATACCTTGAACTGCACTATGAAACAGTCATAAAAGTAACACTCGTTCACGGCTTTTCTAGATAGCGATTCGGGACTTAACACCCCCCCTCCCAACAACCTCTGGTGGCGACCACACGGCAAAGTTGGGCAAGCCCGTGGTGGATTCCTACGACCGTTTAGCGCTGCTAGCCTTTTCCAACGAAGACAAAAGAAAACAGTCCATGTGGTCACGTAATCGTGTGCGCACGAAAAGGGCTGATGCGCGGAGGAGTTTGCTGTTACCATCATGGCTCACGGTTCACGTGAGTGTGAAGAGGCGCACAATCAACTGCTCCCCGAGCCGACCATCTTCAGTTTGAATTTCCATGCCGTTCGCCTGCCTGTCCGATTCTCGTCCGCGCCTCACTTTTTTCTGCTTATTTACAAGCAACCGCCAACTGTACCTACGACTGAAGGCACAATCTTGTACTGATCATCGGTTTATCACCGCCCGATAAAGAAGGTATGTGTGGTAATTGGCAAAATAGTAGTGAAGAAGAGCAAACAAAACTACAAAGAACACCATGAAAAAATGATGCCACTTTGAAAAAAAGCTCCGAACATAATGGTCACGGTGGCTGGAGGTGTTGCAATTTCGACGACGTCATTGAACGTCATTGGTAGAGGGGTGTTAAGAAATGTTCCCAACCACACCTCACCGAGGTGAGCGGCCTAGTCTACAGATGGCTCATCAAAACCGTGCCATCCTCCAGTCATGAATCACTGTAATTGAATTCGTTGGGAATTGTTGTCATTTTCACTCCTATAAAAGGATAGGACCATGTTCGTGAAGTCCAAAACCGTTGTTTGGTAGCTTGGCAGAACAAAGGTTGCTTACATCCTGCAACAGAATTCCTTCCCTTCCCAAGCTTAGTCCCGAGTTCTATAGAAGGCTCACTTACTTCAAAGCAGGGTCAACCGTCAAGGTGCATTTGTGTGCCTACCCCCCCCTCCACCATGAGTCTTAGGAGACTCCCTCAAATACGACCCCCTCCTCCCTACCACAACTCCAACCACCACTCTCGCCACGCCATCATTAGTCTTATGAAACGAAAGCGCGTCCAAATACAACTCCTCTTTCACCAACCCTCACCGTCAACTCCCATTCCAACAATGATAACCTTGCTCAACCTCAAAGCCCGTTCAAAGTGTGCGAACGGAAAATTGACCCCGCTTCAGTGACCCTCTTAACGACATGAACGTCTGTCATTCAGCAGAAAAAAAAGAAGAAATCTTTGAAAAACGCATAAATCACAAAAGTATTGTACTTTCACACACAAAACTACTCACATTGAATATCTTGAATCCAAGCGCATCGTGGTAGCTGTAAGGTCGTATGATATGATCTGGGCGTATAACTCGTGGAGGACGAAGTGCTCCAGCCTCGCTGGCACCTGCCACTCGCCGTACTGAATGCATAGTACTGCTCGCAAAGTCGACCACACCAGATACTGGTCGAGTGACGACTCCAACAAGACCCTGAACAATGATTTGAATTTTTGAAAAACGGACGTTAATTCAAAAGCATTTGATGAAAACCGAGCCACCTTTCCCACGCCTTTGACGAATCCAAATCCACCTTCTTGTTTAGCGCCCTCGATTGGCTTCGTCACAATGCCCGTTATACCACCAACAACGCCCGCTCCAAGACCTTTCACGCCTCTCGCCATTCCTTCGCCAAACGATTGCGGTCGACGATTCAAGTCTTGCTAAAAATATTAAGCAACCATCAGGCATTATCAGAAGCTTCGAAGGACTAGGCTAGGACAAGTCCTGCGACACTTCCTACAAATTTCATTCAACCAAAGATTATAAAGGAGGCTCCAGCAAGAGCATAAGCCAGAGTTGCCCAACCACAGGACAATTCTCAGCAAGGGAGAATGAAGGTGGTCGTTAGAAATACTGAGATGAGATGCGAGAACGGAGGGCTCAGGGGCAGGGTTGTACTTTCATGGATAGCGATGTGGAGCGGAATTCGCGGCAAAGAAAACTGTAATGCGTGGGAAAACGCGATAAAATATTAAAATATACAGCGATATTGCTTCAATTGCCCACTGACGATGAGAATGGCTTGTTTCCACCAAGGTGGTTCTAAGAACATGACGCAAATGACGAAATGATGAAATATATTAGGTCGGTCCATAAGTCTTGCAACAAACTGGCCGAATTTTGAATTTAATATTTTCATTATCTTTTTGTTCCATTCATCCGGCATGCTACCCTCCATCAATATCTACAACCTATTGCCAACACACTAGTAGCTGCTCGATGCCTCCCTTGTAGGACTCTACTGAATTCGTCATTGTTTACGACTTGGATTCCATTTCGCAGAAATTACCAGGTTTAGAATCAAAAAAGATTTGAGAAGGTTTCCGGAGTTCTCAATTTATACGACAATTCGACTTATCCTCAAATTATACGAAATAAATAGGGTCCTGAATTGAGCGAACAAGGTCGGGTCTGCTAGAGTTAGGTTCCAGAAGAAGATGGATTCTGGAAGAAGCTCCCTTTGTGGTGGTTCCATTTTTATGCAAACCGAAAAATAATAACTGTCAAGATGCCGGATTTCCAGCCGCCTAGGCTTTCCAACTTCTAAGCACTATATCTGAGTACAGTTATAATTTTGAGGAAAATGACAAAAAGGTTTTGTAGAGCGGAAGGAAAGTGTTTTCACATGATCTACGCGGTTTCAGGTGATGCTTGTACGGATTGAAGTTATCAATCACTGAATCACTCGAAAAAAAAAAACGCTACGACATTATGTTCCAACCCAATAAAGCTATAATCACAGGTTATAATTTGAGGTTGTGTGGCAGTAGCAAGCCATGAGGTAGATGTCGACCTTTCAAAAGAAGGTAGGTTGCAGAATGGATGAACTAGAAGATGGGAAATTGAATCAGTTCCAAACACGATTTGAAATCTAATGCTCCTGTGGCTTACCATGGTTCCCCCACTGACTATCCAGCATGGTTACCGGCGATGAGTGAGTGGTGCTAACCAATTCACAAACGACAGAAGCCTAGCTTCAGGAGTTCTGACAGTCTGTCCTACATTATGCGAATTCATCTTTCAAATTGAGTTGCTGATTGACTACAAAAAGAGCTTCGCACTGGGAATTGCCATATGCCAATGCCAGGGTCAGGCAGAAGCTAAACTAAGACTTGGCAGCCTTGAAGACAAATGTAGTCTGATATTTATACGACCGTTTCACCCTAAGTTGCGGAGCAGAAATGGAAAACTGGAGACCCTCAACTATCCTTCCAGTTCTTTTTCGTTAATTTTAGTATTGTCCGAGTTCGCCTTTCTTAGAACGTTGGCAAGTTCAGATAGTAGAATATTTTCCTCTATAGCAAACAGGTTTTTTTTATAGTGAAGCGTTTCTTGAGCCGACGTTACGACTAGATCGTCGTCTTGGATTCGACTCTGGTTGAACCTTTTGCTTGAGTTGTGACTAGTTAGGAGCAAGTCAGCGTTAAGTAGGATAAGTTTCATTTGAGAATTTTCGAAATGCTTCCTTCAGGCCTTGAAGACGACGAACTAGTCGAAACGTCGGCTCAATAAACGCTTCACTAGAAAAACCTGTTCGGCACAGAGAAAAATCTGTTAATTTTAGTTTTTGCAAAAGCTGACCAGTTGACGTTTTTGAAATGCGTCAAAGATGGAAGCAGGTTCAAGGTTAACGGTGATTTTTCGTTAACCCAATGCTTTCTTTCAATGAAAGGATAACTAAAAAATTCGTTCGACAGGTCACAGAGTTTCCTGCAAATCTCATGACACCATCTATTTGCTTATTTTGCACTGACCTGACGCTTCCTCTGGTATTCCTGATCAAATGTAAGCGCTGCTACACCTTTGCCTACAGTTCCGGTGATTCGACCAACTGCACCTGCTGCTCCACCAACAGCATGTCCGAACATCGATTGGACACCCAGAGCTACACCAGAGGCGAATTCCTGGAAACAATTTCATACAATCGAAAAGGACCAAATGTACGCATACAGGCGCTGAAATGGATACCGCAATTCCGACCAGAGTACAAACGAGGTTGGATATGTGAGGCACAAACGGTCGCGTTGCGGTTATCAAGATGGCGATGGCTTACTTACCAGGCCAAATTCAGCGAATAGCTGCCGGTAGCTCCATTTTCGAAAAGAAGAAAAATCAATGGAGAAAAATTCATTCTATATCGGCTGACAGTACCTCGGGTCCTTGAACGAGTCCTTGGAAAGGCTGATAGAAGAGATCTTCAACTCCAGCCGAAAGATCTCGGACCAGACCAAATGGATTACCAATAATATCCAAACCAAGAACCAGAACATACATCTAAACTTCATTAAATAAGACCTTAAAAA